TGTTATTTCATTTGTAACACATCACCTGTCCGCTCTGCCAGAGTTGATCAGCAGTACATGGACATTTTCTTTCTCCTTCCAGCCAGGGAAGCAAGTTGGGATATAGGAAATTATTACTCCCTTTCTTTCAGACTCATTAAACCGAGTATCTGGGAATCCTAACACCTAGCTAATGCGTGAACTTAGCATCCTAGTGTGGCAGTAAATATCTCATGCATTACAAAGATCACTGTCCTATCAGGGTACGGTGTGAATCAGTGTAACCAACAGCAGGACAGAGAAGGAGGACGTGACATCCCGGGAACCCGCCTCCGACACCCACGCAGGTTGTTCCCAGGCAGGTGGACGAGGCAGGTTGACCAGCTCACTGCACTTTCGTGTGTCAACAAGATGAGCCACCAGGTTCACGTCCCCGGTAAGAATGGACAGGTATGTACACATATAAAACACATCCCCACAACCTACAAAATACCAGCCACTCATAAAAAAGACTGAAGTAGTGCCTTTCAGCAACCTGCATGGAAGGGGAGGCCATTACCCAGAGGGAAGTAACTCAGGGATGGAAACCTAAACACCATTACGTTTTCACATGTGAGGGGAGCTGGCCTATGGGCATGCGCAATCATACCGCCTGACACGCGTTAGTGCGGCGGGTCTATGGGCATGCGCAGTCATACCGCCTGACACGCATTAGAGCAGCAGGTCTATGGGCATGCGCAGTCATACCGCCTGACACGCATTAGAGGAGCTGGTACCTGAAACGCATTAGAGGAGCTGGTCTATGGGCATGCGCAGTCAGTCATACCGCCTGACGCACATGAGCAGAGCTGGTATGGGCATGCGCAGTCATACGGCATGACACAGATGGGTGGAGCTGGTCTATGGGCATGCGCAGTCATATCATGTGAAATAAACTTCCATGATCGACAGGATCAAACCTAGCCCAGGCCTTTCAACACAGGACTGGATTAATAAATTGTGGACTGTGTGTACCATGGAATACTGGTCAGCTATAAATAAAACAAACAGGCTTTCAATCTTTTGTAACACCCGGACTGATATGAAGAGTGTTCTCCATATCAGGAAAGCCTCCCAAGAATGACAAAATGAGCATCACACGTGCCAATGTGGAACTAGTGGACACCAACTCCGTGCTCCCAGGGGAGAAAAACAAATCACATCCAGATGGGGGACGGGGAGGGGTTGGATAATGGACATGACACTGGTATACCTGAAATTAAAAAAAACGCCAGTCTTATATTCAGAAACATTTAGACTCATTTAATAATTTTGAGTCTATGTACGTTAGTTCAAATTTATTACTGGGCAATTTAAACATTTAGCTACGTGTAAGCTTCCTGTTCTTATCATTATCAGCTTAGGATTTTTAAGTGTTTTTTTTGTTGTTGTTTAAAACATGGTTAATTTTTTAAAGAGACCACACAAAAAAAATTGATACAAAAGCCTCTAAATCCATCAGTGTAAATAGTTGTATTCCATATAACAAGATACTCAATTTAGGGTGTATGTGGGGAGACTTAGGGGAGGAGTCGTATCTTGATGTGCCTGCATTACTAATAATTTTATAAATATAAAACCAATATTCAATTATTAATTATTAAAAATCAGGAACAGAGTCTAGACAAAGGGAAACAGTTATGAGAAATCAACTCCTCAGCCCCGAAAGCCTCATGCCTCCGCTGAGCAGAGACGCCACCTAGGCCGGAGTGACCGGGTTGGAACACGTCCCGGGGACTGCTCCGGGGACTTTGTGGTGCAGGGAGTCCACGCCTGGACAGCGCCCTGGTGAAGTCAGTAAGAATCTCACAGACGATGGCTCTGCCCACAAGCGTTCCTTCTAAACCCCTGTGTTTATTCCTGCCGCGCAGGACCAGGGACATTGTCTTCTGCAGACTGGGTCACCTCCTGGAGGTCTGGGAGTTCTAGTGGGACATGGACAGCTGCACTCGCGCAGGGCTCTTGGCTACAGGCAGATCGTCCCTGTGCCCCCGTAACAAGCAGACGTGGTGGACCATGGATGGCCTTTCCTGCCGAAGTCGCACATAAAACTCTGCCCCTGGCACCCAATGACACCAAGGCCTGGGGAGCTCGTTTCCCAGGTCTGGTTCGGTGAGATGGCCCCAAACTACTCCAGCCCCTGGGGAGGCGAGTTAGACGCTGTCATTCAGGTGACAGATGACTGTGCTGGTCACTTCACAAGCAAAGCCCAGGAACCCGACGATACTGCTGCGCACCTCGTAAGCCAAGGAAACTGCCCAACTGAGAAAGGACGTGTCACAAATAAAGTGGCCCTGAGGCACTCAGCGCAGTGCAGGTGGGAGCTCAGGAAACCATCTGTTGCACACACATTCCAGATTTGTTTAGACTCACAAACAAACAACACAAGGTCACTATGCTTTACATTACTGAGGTGCCCAGATTAGCAACAACAAAACAAAGAGTCTTTGGTTCTTTTTCTGAATAGCTGCCTTCTTTGGTGTTGTCTCCACATTAGAGCTGTGTTTTATTAATTGACATAATGATTGTAATTAACAATCGCTGCCTATATCGTGGCTGTGAGTTACACATATGAATTACTGCCTTAAAATATAACCAAAAGTAAATACTGTAGATGAGATGCCCCTCATGTAGCACCCAGAAAATACTGCAAGAATATGAGCTGAAAGATTGTAGGAGCTGGGAAATGGGGTAAAGTTCCCTTAGAATGCGGAGACTTGTTTCTTGCACAGCATATTGAAATAACTTGTTCGTGTGTTTCCCTCAAATTGATCATCATGCATTTAAATGCCACCTATTTATTCAACACCTCCTGCATACATTATACTCAGTTTAACATCTTGAAAGATAAATTAGTCTCAGGCATGCTCTATTCTTGGAGGATTTTATTTGTCCACTGAAGAATCAAACAGTTGAATAAGCAAATAATTAGAAAAGAATTGGTGGGAGTAGGGCATTGAGCTCATAGCAACAGCATCAAACTCATCACCTTTGGGTGGCAATATGGGTTGACTCGTTGATTTACAAAATCTTTTCTCCATTTTTCTCCTTTACTAATAGCACATGTCTGTGGGGACAGCCACTCAATTCTACTTGGTTTTGGTTATACAGGTGCGTGTACTGAAATAGATGATAAACGATTTTGCAGCAGCTCTTGTGTTTATTTGTGTAGTTACGCCTCGTTTAGGGGGCCCAGGGCAGCATAGTACCCCTTTCCTAATAAAAGTATCTCTCTTCTGTAGCTTCTTCAGTCTGACTTAGGGGCAATGACCTGCCTGTTGTGGCAGGAGTATAAGTCTCTGGATGGTGATGTAGGTGGCCCAAGGGCAGGGCATGTTTATTTTATGGGTTGGAAGGCAGGATGGGTGGTTGGAACTTTATTGAGCATTGAATAGTAGATTCATGCATATTCTTGATTCAAACATGATTTTCCATCTATGGGTTCAGTGTTTGACTTTCTTTACCCAGCATGCTGGGAAGATTTACATGATGCCAGGCCATGGTGAATGCTTTAAGAACTTTCCCTAGGACTGGTAATAAAGGGCCATGGCACTTCAGAGGCCTTAACCAGATCAATATTCTGCACATATCAATTTATAATACACGTCTTTATGCAAAGGAGTCCACAGCATACACGACAACGAGATGAACCATTGGACAGTCAGTAACTGGGTTGCTCTGATCCTGAGCTGAGCCGCAGGATGTTTGATGGCTGATACAGGAAACAGATCATTGGGCATGTTTATGTTGAATAGCAAATCAGCTTCCAACTCATCCAATAGTAGAGTTTAAAGCTCATTTCCCAGTGAGCAGTGGTCAGAACAGAGTACCCAGATTAGAAAGGAAGAGGCTGCATCTAACTAAGTCACTGCTGGTGTGGAAACGGACAGTCATCAAGTGTTTCTCAGGGAGCTTCTGGGCAAAGTAACATCAAACAAATTTGGAAGTAAGACTTTATTCCCTCCTCCCTAATAATCTCTCCCTAAAGACTCTTGAGACTTTTATATGAAATACTGATGTGTTATAATGCATTTATATAATAGTTCATAGTTATCTTAATTTTGAAAGATGAAATCAGCAAAGAAAAATTCATTTTATGCATTTTGTTATAATAATAGAAATAATCAAAATACACTATTACAATGTATAAAGAAAATTCAGCTGTGATAAAAGCAAGAAAACAAGCAAATAAAAACCTGCCTGATTCCATGCTAACATAATGAATAATAAAAAGAAACTCAAAAGACACAAAACAGCAAGAAAATGTAGATCTGAGCTATAAAAATAAACAATGTGAAATTATTTGAGATAAAAATTATTGCTACAAATGGATTTGACCTAGAAATGTACTTTCATGAAAAATTTAATGAAAACATATCTGTTTAGTTTGTTTTCTTTGTGGATATGTCTGCTAGGAGAGTTTTAGCTTCTGTTTGTTTAAAACCACAAAAGCATTTTGAGGTGTGTGAGACCTTTCAGCCCTGCCTTGTGGTTTTGGGGAAGTTCACTCATAGATCTCGGTCAGGTTGGCCCTCAGCTGTGAAGACAATTGGGATAAGGTGACCAGATCTTAACATTGGCAAAGTGGGACACCATTGGAGGGGGAGAGGGCAAGGCCTCGGGAGGCGGGCAGAGCCTGATAACAATGCAAACTTTGATAAGCAGTTCTCGATAATCAGTTCTCAACAATTATTTGTTATTATTAGAGTTTAACATTACAAAATTAACAAAAATAATATAAAACTCATATCCTGGTGAAATAGCCACATGGCAGCCGAAAACCGTATATTCCCTTCCCATTCTCCTGCTGTTCCCTAGCTAGTCCTGCATTCTTTCCAAAAATTGGGACTTTTTTAAAATGCTGGGGGACATGGGACAAATTGTTAAAAATTGGGACTGTCCCACCAAAAGCGAGATGTCTGGTCACCTTAAATTGGGAGAGAGAGACGCAAGGTGCACAGATGGTCGGGGACGGCACTTACCTGCTTGATTTGTGGTTACATTTACAGACACATACTGCCGGGGTCCTGGGCTCAAGTCGGACACTCCATTCACTGCCTCAATCTCAAAGGTATAGTTTGTGTGAGCGAGCAGGTCCACCATCATGACAGAGGTGTTTCTCAGGCCGCTTTGCTGGGGGAGGTACCTGACATGCCCACCGCAGGCCTCGCACACCCCTGCATGGGAGCGGCACTTCTTGCATGCAATATAATAGGACACATCTTCCCTTCCACCAGAGTCAGCAGGCGGAATCCATTCCAGAAAGACACTAGTTTCATTAACATTGGAGATGGCATTCCGAGGAGCAGAGGGGGGTCCTGGGTTGCAAAGTGAGAAAAAGACGTTTTAAGATGATATCAAGTAGACATCGTTTACACACCAATCCCTGCTCTGAAGGGAAGAAACCAAATTTCCAATCAATCTTTTATGTCCTAGTTTCTCACTGTCTTTGAAAAATTCTGTTATCATTTTATAGGGATAATAGTGAGATTCACATCCTATAGAAGCAGCTTCTCTTAACAAGGTGATAATAACACTAGTTTAGTAAAAGCAGATATTTTGCTCAGTGTGTGTGCAAATAACTATGCAGTTAACCTATTACGTACAAAAATCTTTGGTAAAATTATCTATGAAAATTATGGGGGAATGAAGTGGATATTTGCTCATTGATATCTGTGAAATAAATATAAAAGTAGCTACTAAAAAATGAATACAGGTAAAAATAGGGCTTTTCCATGTGACTCTTGACTTTGAATTCTACAGCAAGTAAAAATTAGCTTCCTTCAAAATAGATTCCGCAGCCTCTGGATGAATCACCTACAGCATCTGAAACTCTCTCTTGGAGGTTAAGAAAGCACCAGGGTTTGAGTAGGGGGTCAACATTACATTCCGTAGTAAAACTTTGACATTTTTTATATGAGGATTCTGAAAGTTGTAAATCTTACTTAATTGAAAATATAAATTTATTTTTAAAATAACTCTGAAAGTGAAGGTAATAAATGACCTAATACAAGGGTGATAGGGGAATGAGATTGTGGGGAGAGGAGGAATGGGGGTCATGGTGTATGGAAAACCTCTTGGGGGTGGGACACAATTACAAGAGGGACTTTCTCTAACAACTGCAATCAGCGTAATCTGATTATTTGCACCTTCAAAGAATCCCAAACAATTTTTAAAAAACCCTCAAAGGCATTGTAATAGGGAAGAATGAAAATGTTCAGAAGGATCAGCGAACAAATTTCAATCCCCAATAACCTACCACAATAAAGAAATGAATTTAATCTAAATATTTTCATAGAATCATAATATCTTCAAATATTACTAGTGTAACTTTCCTAATGTCATGAAGTATTTCTTAGACACTTTTTTCTGCACATATATAAATGGAAATTGGATGTATTTTTGAAAACTTATTTTATATTCAGAATAATCTTCTTTCAGTAAGATGGAATTTTCCACTAAAATGTAAGTAATGGAAACCACACTTTGAATTGCTTTAAAAATTTCCAAAATAAAGGGTAACAATAGCCTATTTATATTTTATTTTACCTATTCCTGACCCAAATAATTAGCATACTTAAGAGAACCAAACTGATCACAAAATATCTGCCTCTTTCTATTCGTAGAGTTAAAACTTCAGTCACTGTTAAGATATGATGAAATGTTCTCAATGAGAAAATAAATTATTCGTTTTAGAGATATCTTGTATATCTCTCCCTACCAGGAATAAAATGAAGATAGCAGTTGAATGGTTTATAAGCACAAATTAGGCTACTTAGGGTGATCTAACTCATCATACGAATATGAATTTTTGTTCTAAATATAAAAATCAACATGAATTTCTACCTGATATGTGTAGAACAGCCAGGACTATTGAGGAATAATTTATAAAGTGGTAACAAAGCTACCTAGGATTTAAAATTTTGCCATAACAAGTATCATTTAAATGAATCAACCCTGTAACTAAAGAGTTGACATTTTCCCAGAAAAAATCCCCATCTCGATTCTATTCATGGTTGAACTCTACCAGTATTTTTACGAGTACAACCTCACACACGTCAATATAAAAACCGTCTCTTTTTAAGTTGAAATAATTACTTAGCATGGAAATACAAATATTATTTTTTATTATAAACTATAGCTAATTTAATAGTGAAAAGACGTGAAGAAGATGGAATTTGAGATCAAAAGTTATAGGCATTACTTCTAAGGAAAAGATGAAACTTAGCTGAAAAAGGTCTAGTATAGAACAATGTCAACTTCTGTGTTTTTTCCTGCAACTGAAATACATTTGCATTCATCACTTTTCCTGTAAATCTGTACACACACAGCAGAGCCTCCCTGTCCCTTTGCTTCTGACTCCTCCACTAGCAGTCAAAATGAAGTTCAAACTCAAGTGGAGACCTGAAGTAGGACGTCCAGATGATAGGCTCAGGTGAAAATGCACCCCAAAATTCAAGGAACAAAATTCCGCTGCCCTGGAAGTGGAGATAATACGTAAACCAAGGCAGAACTGTGAGAAGAACCCTTCATTTAGACAGACTCATTAGAATCTTGGGTTTTAGTTTTTTTTTTGTTTGTTTGTTTTTTCCTGTAGGTTTATATAATTATGTTTCTAAATTAAAAAATAAAAGCATGTATGTTTCACACACACACACAAAAAATGTTAAAAGGAGAATGGACTATAAATTCAATTCCAAAGGGCCAAAGGCAAAGTGAAGTTGAAAATCTCCATCTGAACACCAATCAAGCCATGAGGGGCTCACATGCCTCATTTGTGGAGCTGTGAATGCAACTAAAGGCAGAAACACAGAAACACAACAACACTCACAATTACATACTGGAGAGACCTGATATATGAGTCCTGGTAGTCTTTCTGCATGACATGCACACAAAGTAGTGCTCATTTCAGACAGAATATTAGAAATTCATGTATCAACAGAGAACAGGAGAAGCTGGCCTGTGGACTCAGTCCTAAAATAGTGCTAAGCAGTCCTTGCCACCAATGCACAGCCTCCCCCCAGTTTCCAAACCTAACAAATTTACAGAAAGGGAGGCTTCCATTAATGCTAAAAAGGAAAGACGTCAGCTGAGCCACTTAAAGAATATACTAATTAGAAAATTAATAAAACATCAAAGATTTGAAACATGATTTTCTTTCCTTAATTTGCCGCTCATAGTATTCACAGTATTTCCCCCTGTGGTTTGGGGATTCTTTGGCTCTCAATAATGTAAATAATTGTTTAAATGCACAGAAAATAAAATGTATTACATTTCATCAGTTTTACTTTCTCCACTCAAATATGTCCTCCCCAAAGTAGGTAATGACATCATTCATTCATTTAAAAAGGAAGTGTTTTACAGGGTAATCATCTACCCCATAAAATCATCACTTTGTCAATAAAAAGAACAGTCTTCAGTAATGTAGAGCTAACTGATAACAATGATTTGAGGAATTCTGAAAATATGCTGCCCTGACACTATGAAATTCAGATAAAATTTTAATCTACAATTACTTGACAACAAGAAATCTATACTGTCTTTTTAAATTTAGAGATAGATAGTAAAATTTCAAAAGTTTTTGTGAAGATCTTTAAGAGAAACTACAATTTACTGGGACCTACACTTTCCTGGAACAGAACATCAAGGCAGGTCACGGAACATTATGAGGGGGGAGGATTCCATTTCCTTCTCGTTCACTTTCGGTTTTCATTTGATTTGCTATGGAGACTTTGTGGAACTCTGAAAGTGCTCTCATCAAGTCACAAATGCATAAATATTACATTCTCAGAAATATATGGAAAACTGAAAAACAAATGCACCAAAAGCATCAGAGATGTGGATGCATCACGGCAAATGTTGGAACCTGTGCTTTCTATTCATCTGCTCTAGTTATATGATCGGCAAATACGTCATCAATAATAGTCAAGGACACTCGCTAGCCAGACACGTACGTAACACTTTCATGAAAACTCTAGCTAAAATGTCATCTATGCATGACTCTGAAGTCCTATTTGCCACCTCCAGTTCCCACGTTCTTAAAGTGTTTCTTGCCTTCTTTTATAATGACTTTCCTTAATGACCTTTTCAGTGACTTTTGCAACTTAGTGTGGTAGGTTAGAACAAGAAGGGAAGGTGCCATTTTTTGTCTAATTACGTATTTAGAAACGGGCATAGAAAGAAGAAAAAGGAGGGAAAAAAATTATCGTGAATAGGGAAGTGGATTTTTTTGTCTATCATGAACCCTAAAATAAGCCACAAAGTGAACTGCGTAGTAGTCATTAAATTTGAAGTTAGCCTAAATTGATGCCTGTAACAGTGAGGGATAAAAGATACTCAAACTTTGCAATGCTTACTAGAGAAGACTGAAATTTGGTGAAAATTATACAGGGAAGCTTAAACATCGTGCCTGTTTTAGGGGTCAATGCTCACAGAAGGTAACAGGCTTCATCTTGCTGCTTATTCGGGCTGGTGAAGGTTAGCGTCACCAAATATGCATGGGTTCCTTACTTGTGCATGCCATTGTGGGTGGATCAGACTCCCTCCTGAAATAATCCTTTTCACAGACACAAGAGGCGGAAGCTTCCTCATGGGTGTAACTGTGAGGTGGACATTGGCTGCAGCTCTGGATGTGAGGTGAGGCTTTGAAGAACCCAGGTCTGCACACTGTTAAGAGAAATAAGAGACTAAGCTTTTCCCTGAGACACAGGCAGTGTTTGTTTTGTGAACAAAGCCATTATTTTGACCAGTATACGCAGATTAAAGTTAACACAAATTTTGCAGCACTTTTAAGAATTTTTCATGAGCTACTGAATCACAAATACCAGGCTATTTGTTCAGATCTTCAAATAGTATATTTATTTAAAGTTTTAAAATATGTATGCAATATACCTATTTTTAATGATTTGTATGCTACTGGAGCTTACGAGAAATTTTAAGTGGCGAATATTTATGTGTATTTAAAACTGAAGGAAGTGCTCTGTGTACCAGTCACACTTATTCTATTATAACTGCAACTAGGTTGAAGAAATATAAATTATCCCAGAGGCGTGGTATGCTGTAGATGCTCAAAGTTTTGTAATTGAATAAATAATTTAATTAGTAGGTACTAAAAGCTTTCCAGTTCCAGTAGATTGGGAAAAACACATGAACAAACTGGTATATAATCCATATTATACTGATTTCAGGAATCAAATCTTTGGCATTTGTTTTGCATTTTCCTCCATGTTAGAACATTTCTTTTTCTTTCTTTTCTTTTTTTTTTGCAGTTTTTGGCCAGGGCTGGGTTTGAACCCACCACCTCCGGCATATGGAGCCTGCGCCCTACTCCTTTGAGCCACAGGTGCCGCCCAGAACATTTCTTTGAGATTCTAACTGATTCGACATTTATCTTTTCTAATATCTGGAATAGTTATACTATAGAATCTGTGATGATCAATAAAGGGCAGAAATTATGTCTTATTCATTCTTGCACTAAAAAAAGTCATTCTGGTGTTTGCCCCCAGGAAATGTCTGAAGTGGCAAGGAAAGCCTGGCAGAGCTTGCAGCCGTAACTGAGCTTCAGAATCAGGTGAGAGCTGTGTTCCCTGGTGTCTTTGTTAACACGTCGACACTGTTAGGCAGGTAAGAAAAGGCTCCTGACATGACTCACTTCATTCTGGGGATCCCCAGATCTCTAACTACTCTTCCTACTCAATGGCTAACAGGTCTGAGCGTTAGCATTCCAGCTGCTAGGGACCCTTCGGCTTAAAGCCACAGGACAGAGTTTTAGACTCTTTACGACTGACTTTACATAAAACTACTCAACTGTATTTTTTCTATTTTCGAAGCTCACCATATATACTGAAGGGTATTTATTCAACCATCACTGCACATTTGCTGAAAGCTCAAAGGTGAATATGTATTTCAATAGATATTTTTGATAGACATAATGAATTGGGGCCAATTTCCATGGGCTATAAACGATCTCAGGTTTTAGTAATCCATGCTTAGGCTCCCTGCCATCACCATGAATAATCAGGAACTGGCAAAAATGAAAAGGTACTTTCTTCAGTAGATCTAATTATAGCGATAGTAAAGCCTTAATGCTCGTATAAATTCTGAGAGAATGTGAAGGTATTTGAAAGATAAGAAGAGCTTTTGATAGCATTAGGGACATTCCTGTAGTTAAACGATTAGGAGAAGATTTAAAATATTATTTTTCTTATAATAGGATTGCTGTCGCAGCCAATACCATACTTAACTCACTTATCCAATTTTTCTTTTTACACCCTTTTAGGAAAACCATTCTCACTTTAAACACTATTTGCTTTCAAAGACCTGACATACCAATCCACGTGTTCTCAGTATTTGGAATTCATTCATCCTTCATGAAACAAAAGTCATTTCCTTTCTTGCTAATGAGTGCCTTTTAAGTGAAATACTTTCTCTGATATCACAGAGAACACTGCTGTTCAACGTCCACACGGAAGCTTTGGAAATAGGAAGCCGAAAGTAAGTAAAGGCATCTTTCTGCTCAGTTCAATAAAACTCTTTGAGCAGGTACGATGGGCCAGAAACTCCGCTGGCTGGCCTGTGGTTAGAGAGGTCAACAGGAAACTAAGGAATTCCTCAGGAAGACAGTCAGAATAAAGTGGAAGAGATGAACTTACACAGGGTGGGAGGTGTTTGGTTTAGACCTCCCAGAAAACCCTAACGTTTTAGCATGCAGTAACTGGGAGTTTATTTTATAAACAAAAGGAGGTCATCACAAAGTTTTTTATTTTTTTCCTCAGCTTTAGTAAGGTATAATTGACAAAAGAAAATTTTATGTATTTACTGAGAAAGGACAGAAAAGGTGGCTTCTAGGGCATGGGAGGAAAGCCTGGCCGGCTGACCAGGGCAGCGTGGAGGCTGTGAGGGGCACCCAGCCCTTAGAGCAGCAGCTCTCCTTGCCAGAAAAGAAGGGGAAATAACATAGGTATGCGGTAACCTAGGTAACCAGTGACCAATAGAAAAGGAATAATCGATGACCAGTAGAAAAGGCCAATGATGCCTGGTGCCACAGACAGACCAAGGAAAGAGCTACAGACAGCTTCCAAAGGGGAGACAGGTGTGAGCCCCTCCACACTGCCTTCACCTCTGTCTCTCTCTCTCTTCTCACTCGGGAGGAGGGCCCACTGCTAACTCTGTTTGCAAGTGCTCTAAGCTTTCTCTTTATTCTTTTTTTTTTTTTTTTTGAGACAGAGCCTCAAGCTGTCTCCCTGGGTAGAGTGCCGTGGCTTCACTGCTCACAGCAACCTCCAACTCCTGGGCTCAAGCGAGTCTCCTGCCTCAGCCTCCCAAGTAGCTGGGACCACAGGCGTCCGCCACAAGGCCCCGCTGGCTATTTTTTGGTTGCAGCCATTATTGTTGTTTGGCAGGCCCGGGCTGGATTCAAACTCACCACTTTAGGTGTATGTGGCTGGCGCCTTAGCCACTTGAACCACAGGCGCCAAGCCCTTTCTCTTTATTCTTAAGGAAAAACTCTCTCTGTCACACTGAAGCCTGTGTGAGTTCCTTCTGCTCTGTTCACGCTGCCTGTACGGCTCTCGCTTTACTCTGGTTCTACCCAGTCTGCTTTGATTCCCACCGTGCCCTGGTTGAATGCCCTAGTTGTGCAGAGTAATCAAACCAGGTCAGTGGTGGTGAGGGAACCAGAACCCCTGTCCCCAGCATTTACGTGACTGTGAAGGTCAGTGGGGGGTGAAGGAACCAGAACCCCTGTCCCCAGCATTTACAGTGACTGAGAAGGTCAGTGGGGGTGAGGGAA